TGTGACCCCTTATTACGTAACATATGATCAGAATCTTATCATATATTGTTGTAAGTCATTAAGATAAGCATCTTTGCTTCAGTAATGTATTACAAATTATTGATCGTTAAAGAGTTATAGATGAAAGACTTTTGACCCCTCTGAGCCCCTAATTTGAAGGATCAGCCCCTTTTTCTTGATATCAAATGAAAGGTCGTATCATTCTGCACAACTTTTATTCTATATGTTTTAACAAATTCTTAACATGTATGAAGATATGAAAGAAAAGGTGTAAAATTTTGTGAGATGTTTCTGAGACATTTCTTGAGCCCTACCGAGCTTCGGCGCCTTTTGTGCTAGAGAGATTTGGACACCTGCCTGCAAATCTACAAATCTTCCCCTACCTTCACTGAAAATCTTGACTCAATATCTTAAGTCTTTTTGGAGGAGTTTCCAGGACAGGCCGACCCTCTGAAAATTAGAAAATCCTTAATATCTCGAGATAGAAAGTGACGTCATCAACGAAAAAAATTTCCAATAAGGTTCAGATCAATACCTATCAGATCTGAGAGTTTCATGAAAATCGGCCTGGACATTACCGAGAATTCGCGTGCACAAAATCGGTAAGAATAATAATAATAATAATAATAGGGAAAAAGAAACCGAACGAAAACAATAAGGTCTTCCGTTGGAGACGGAAGACCTTAATAATAAGAAACAGAGTAAAAACAATATGTTCCCCAACTTCGTTTGGGGAACATAATAAAATGGTTTGAAACATCTCGCGCCAGCCCGTAGATTAGCATTAAAGGGGATGAATGGGAGGGGCGATTATCAGGGTAAAAGAGACTAGTCCATCCCAACTTCCCATACAAAAGTGGCGAGTAACGTAAAACCTTTAATTTCTGTTATATTTAAAAAAGTATTATCATTTACTTGTCCGTCAAATATTGTAGAATTCCATTCCAATTGTTAAATTTTGCACAAATGTTTTTCATGCAATATTCTTCTTCAACTGAATAAATCTCTATGTTGCAGCGGAAGAGAACTTTGATTTTCGACCTATATATCGGTGCAATTAATAAACAGATTAAAATGATTAATTATTATTCAATATTTACAGAGGACCGGAATAATTTGATTTATTGTTCAATACCAGCCCTTTTATTGTTAATTCTATCAATGAGCCTTCATGCAATTACAGCACGCTCCAGGAATATAACTTTCAGGAAATATTCAGAAGCTTTCGTTTCTCTTTCTTCGAAAATAGATCTCTCATATGTACGTTGAGTCTTGATCTGTTATAATGTGTTATACTATATTGTGAATGTTGTATGTTGGTATATTGTAACTTCAGCATATCAAGATATTGTGAACATGAGCAAATGATTATGCATGCTTTTAAAATTAAGAAGTTGTGAACACACGAAAGAGTTCGAAACATTTTCAGTGTCATGTACTGCACGGCCTCATTAAATCTAAATTCCATGAATTCTTATAGCCACTATATATGTAGATGGCATTTAATTATAGTGTGCATTTCATTAATCATAATCGAATGTTTGACAATTTTTTTTACTTCATTTTAACGGCATAGAACGTATTCATTTAGCTGTTGTGGGGGCACTTTTGGCAATTGCATATTTTCACAAAATCGGATATTTTCATTTTTGTTTCTGGAAATCCAATTTAACATGTGGGCAGAAGAGAAGATAAGGAGGTTGAGTCATGAAAATTAAATTATGACGCCTTAATACACTAAAGGTCTTTTTTTTTCTTTTTTTTTAATGCAAGATTTCAACAATTTTGAAATATTTTTGCATAGAAAAATAATTTAACCATTGCATTAAATATTTTGCAAACTGTGGAATGGTTTTCTAATTATTTTATACTTATGAAACGTGAACATTACCACGTGTGAACTTACTGTCCCGCTGTTGAAGCTCATGAAAGGAGCACTAACACCAGGCATTTGACTTCCTTTATAGTATATGTAATACATATGCATCATGATTAAGGTTGTACGTGTTTTATATTTGATATATCATTTAAATTATTTCAGCTATATATCAAACTCATTTCTTGATTGCGTTATATGTCAGCATCATTTTATTATTACATGTACATGTATATATCAGCTTTAACGTGTGTCAAAATTCTGCAAAATTATTTACTCGGAAGAGAGCATCTTTGTATTAACCGTCTTCCATGAATGAACCACATGTCCTTTTAATCATGTGATGCTGCATGACAACATACGCGCATCTAAAGGAGGTGTTGTGCATATGAATCGGACCCACCCCCCTGGAATTTAAGAGTAATTAAATTTCTATGTAAATACATGTAGTGGAAAAATGACCTTGAATCCCCCTCCCAGAAACATATATGGAATGGGTGGAATGGACCTCTCTTAAAATGGAAAGGAGAGTGATCTATCTGAAGAAAATCGACTAAAGGAAAGTGTATAATTTAATACCCCCACCCCACCCCATCCCACGCTCAAACAAAATAGATTTCTCAG